TGAAATGGTGTATCTTTGGCTATGTATATTTTCACCAGAAAAAAAAAAGGTCTAGAAGGGAGAGGGTTGACATGTTGTGGGGTGTCGCAGCGCCCTCACACGGGGCACCATCTGTCGCAGCGGCAACGGTTGTCGGGGCGGCAGAGACAATAAGCAATGCCACAAGTCTTACAGAGAAGTGGGGCCAGGAGGGTCACTCTGAGGAGTCGAACCCTGGCTTCAGTCCCAGGAGTTTATTTTATAGTCAATACAGCAAGCAATGAAGCAAATAACAGAACAATGGGCTTTGGGTGAGTAACAATAAGTTTCGGGCAAGGGAGAAGGAATTCAGGTAAACAAGCCAATCAGTAACAGGACAATAGGTTTGGGAAAACAAGTCGTGTCTAATCTCTTTCTCATCGCTGACGAGTCTCCAACATGTTGTATACAGCATAGAGGCCTGTGGGGGCTGCAGTTGTCAATAGTGCAGCCATGTTTAAATGGCATATATCCCCACAATGGGGTTGTTAACCAATGTCATAAAGCAATATGTGTACTACTGTGTCATGAGAAAGTATTTGTTCTGTAAGCCTTCACCTGAAGTACAATAAAAAGAAAAAAGAAAAACTATGAGTGGTGAGTAGCCATACCAGACATTAAAATATACTATAACGTGGCTTTAATTAAAACAGTGTGGCACTGATGCATGAATTAGACAAATAGACCTGTGGAATGAGTAGAAAGTCCAAACACGGATAAAAATACCTATGGAAATTTAGTATAAGATAAAAGTGGCATCTCAAAGCTCTGGAGCAGAAACGTACATTTCAATTAATGACTCTGGGACAACTGAGAAGCCCTTTAGAAAAATATAAAGTAGATCCATATCTCTCACTACACACAAAAATAAGCTGCAAATATATAGGGATGTAAATATAAAAATGAAACCATACAAGCATTAGGAAAAACCATGGGAGAATTTCTTTTTTTATTGTTTTGTTTTATTCTATTTTATTGTGGTGAAACACACAGAAACAGAACGTTTGCCATTTCAACCATTTTTACCCGTACAATTCAGTGACATCAATTACGTTCACCATGCTGTGCAGCCATCACCACTGTCTGTTTCCAAATGTTTTTATTACCCCAAACAGAAACTCAGTGCCTCCTAATCATTAATTCCCCATTCTTCCTTCCTCCCAGTCCCTGGTAACCACTAATATACTGGGCTCTATGCATTTACCTATTCTGAATATTTCACATAAGTGGGATCATATAATATTTGTTCTTTTGCATAGGACTTATTTCACTCAGTATAATGTTTTCAAGGTTCAACCATGTTGTAGCATGTATCAGGACTTCATTTCTCTTCGTGGCTGAATAATACTCCATGTTATATATGTACCATATTTTGTTTATCCATTCATCTGCTGATGGAAATTTGGGGTGTTTCCACCTTGCGGCCATTGTGAATAATGCTGCAATGAACATTGGTGTATAAATATTTGTCTGAGTACCTGTTTTTCGTTCCTTTGGGTGTATACCTAGGAGTTGGGTCACCTTTTAAATCAAGCAAAGACATCACCCTCTCACGTCTGCAGGATACACAGTGAGTGCTCTGTGAAGGCTTATTGGATGGATGAATGAATAAAGGACATACAACAATACTTGAGTAAATGGATTATGGTTTATTTAATAAAATGTGGGTAGTATAATTGGTTCTCCATCTGGAAAAAAAACGAAGCTGAACTTCTGTCTGACATCATACGCAAAAAAATTGCAAATGAATGAAAATTTAACTGTAAACAGATTTTTTAAAACAAAGATAATAGAAGAAAATTGCGGAAAATATTTTTGTTAAAATGAGGTTAGGAAGTCCTTCCTCAGCAAGACAAAAAAAAAAAAAAAAAAAAAAAACCAAATAGAAGCATAAAGGAAATTCACGTTTGACTAAACAAAAGTTAAAATTAGGTTGTATATTTAAACAAATATTTTTTAAACGATAAATTATAGACTTGGAGAAAATATTTGCAACTCATGTGACAGACAAAAGGCAAATATCCCTTTTATATAAAGATGTTCTACTATAAGTAAGGCAATAATAAAAGATTAGCTATATAAAAACAAATAAAGACAGAGGATATGAAGAGGCAATTCCCAGAAGAGGAAATGAAAATGGTCAATCCACAAGAAAAGGTATTGAACCTCATTAGTAGCCAGGGAAATGTAAACTAAAGCAATGAAATATCTTTTTTTTTACTACATCGGATTGGCAAGAACTAAGAAAAGATAAAATGCTTGAACGAATGCAGGGGAGTGGCCCCCTCACACATTTAAATTGATAAATGTTTTTGGAAAGTAATAAGCCCGCGTCCATTTAATTTAAGATACTGATACTCTGACTTATTTAAAGAAAAGACTATCTCATGGAAGGCGCACTGGTGTCGCAGTGATTAAGAGATTGGCTGCTAACCAAAAGGTCAGCATTTCCAATCCACCAAGCTCTCCTTGGAAACCCTATGGGGGCAGTTCTACTCTGTCCTATAGGGCGGCTATGAGTCGGAATCGACTGGATAGCAACGGGTTATCTCATGGAAATAAAGTACATATGGCTATACTTAGAAGAATCCTTATTGCAGCATTGTTAATGGGGAAGGAAAATGAGTTGAAAATGGAGCGATGCCTGTGATGCTCTATGAATTGAAAAAAGCAAGTGTCAAACTAATGGTTCAGTTTGATCCAATTTCTGTAAAAACAAACAGCACTAAATATACACGTGGGTATGTATATGTTTCTGTTGTTGTTTGCCGTCCAGTCGATCCCAACTCATAGCGATCCCATATGACAGAGTCGACCTGCCCCATAGGGTTTTCTAGGCTGAAATATTTATCAAGCAGATCGCCAGGTCTTTCTTCCACATAGCCGCTGGGTGGGTTGTAACCGCTGACCTTTTGGTTAGCAGCCGAGCTCTTTACCATTGCTCACCCAGGGCTCCTTTTCTATGTTTATAGGAGCATAGAAAAACTTTTCCTTCTTTGCATATATTTTGTGTTATTTCGCTAGTTTCGATGGAAAAAGTATTAGTTTTGCAATTTAAACAATAGGGAATTGTTTTAATTGGAAAGAGTGGGTGGGGGGAATTAGAAAGGAAAGGAGTGTGCTATTTTCGCGGCCGTTTCTGTGTGCGCTCCTCTTACAGACAGTGCGGCGCACTGACGGCCGCCCCCGAGAGTCGCGTCTACGCGGGAGATTACAGTAACCCGGTAGTCAGTGATGACTCAGAGTGCGTGGTGCTGATGCTGCTGCCATTTCATCACCTCCGCGAGCGCAGCATCCATCCCTCCGCTCTCGCGGCGCCTGGGCCTACCTCGCCTCGGGCTTCCGGGCCAGCAATGCGCTCGCGGCCGAGCTAGATCTCCCAGGCCTCAGCGGGGCGTCCCCTCCCGCCGCCCCCGGCCGGGGTAAAGGAGACCTGCCGAGCCGCGGCCATGGAGGCCATCTGGCTTTACCAGTTCCGGCTCATTGTCATCGGGGACTCCACAGTGGGCAAGTCCTGCCTTATCCGCCGCTTCACGGAAGGCCGCTTCGCCCAGGTTTCGGACCCCACTGTGGGGGTGGATTTCTTCTCCCGCCTGGTGGAGATCGAGCCGGGGAAACGCATCAAGCTCCAGATCTGGGATACCGCGGGTCAAGAGAGGTTCAGGTGGGAGCGCAGCTGGGGCCCGCGAGCGCAGTGGGAGGGTCCTAAGGGACTGCTCAGCCCCTGGGGAGAGAGGATTTCCTGGTCCTCGCTGCAGTTGCAGTCCTCTGCAGGGGGCGACACCGAGGGTCTGGGGGCTTCGGCTGGCGGGGAGTTTGGTGCAGGAGGAGAAGCGCCTTGGCAGGGAAGGCCGGTCAATAACACATATTGCATGCACCCCAACTCCACCAACCTGACTTGCCCCTTCAAGCCCCTAGCCCCTCAGTGGCTAATAAACTAGTTGGAATTGATCAATGTAATTCATCAATCTCGCTCTTTATGCCATATGCTTTCAAAAATGTTCCAGGTCATTCTAACATAAAGTCAGCTATGGACGAATTGATTGATTCCCTCTTACAATCAGCAGACATTAGATGAGCATCTAGTATGTGCTAGACACCTTGCTTGTTTCCGGGGAAACTCACACTAGAGGATGCCATGGTGAACAAAACACAGTCCTTCCCTCCTGGAACTTCTGTGCTAGCATAGTGGGGGAAATAAACAATCAACACAAAAGAATGTCTTGCTTATGTTTGTATGCCCTCTGCTTACTATAACGATTGACCTGTAATGAGTAAGGAATGAATGTGTTTCTTTTTTTTTCTTACACTCTTTACTTTACATTTGTAATTGTATGTATGAACACAGGGCAGGCAACCTGATGAGTAGGATTGCCCAAGCAAAGACAGGAAAGCGCCCAGAAATGAGAGAGAGCACAGTGTCCACAGAAAACTTTGCAGAGAGCAATTTGAGCTAAAGTCAGGTAAAGCAGCAGGAACCAGATCAAAAGGACTCAATTAGCCATTGTTTACTATCATTAATTGAACATTAATTGAGTGTAGAAGGTATTAGTCAATTGACTAGGGGTGGGGAGAAGAGATCATTACAAAGTTATTTCCAACTCCCCACTTCTACAAACAATATCCTCGTTCAGGTTCACTTTGAACTTATGATTGCATTTCTCATATCGTAAGTGAAGAAAGGTATCTTTTCATCTGTTTATTGGAATTTCTTTCTGTATGAACAGCCTGTTCATACCCATTGCTTGTTCACATTGCTTATTATTTATTGGATCATATTGATTTGTAAGAGTTCTTTTTAGATTAAGAATACAAACCCCTTTCTGTCATGTATGTTGTAAAATATGTTCCCAGTTTGTCATTTGTCTTTTGACTTAACAGAAAAAAAAGATTTTGCTATACAAAAGATTTTAGTTTTTAGGTAGAAAATGTATCCATCTTTTATTTTAAAGCCTCTGGGCCTCATGTCTTGCTTAGAAAGGGCTTTGCAACTTCCTTTGCTAAATACTCCCAAACGATCAATGTAATAATGCATTCTAAAATTTTGACAGGGATCAAAGCATGCTTAGTGATTTCCTAAATCCAACTTTTCACAAATCAAAACCTTTGTTTGTTCATGTCTAATTTTCTGGCATGCCCACCATTCGCCACAAATGTTTAAACATAAGGGAACTAGAAATGCTCTCAGCCTCCAGATTTGAAGTCATTTGTAAGGTTTGCTGTTACAATCATCTAGCTTGGGCTTTAATTCCTTGGACAATATTTATTCTGTTAACATTGGGTCATTTTCCCTAAGCCTTAAACTGTTGAGTCTTTCATTGTTTATCTTCTTCATCCAAAGAGATGGACCTAAAAATAGACATAGATCAAAAAGCACAATAGTTTACAGCAAGTTATTGTAGAGGCAAATAGTTCTATGCCTTCTAATATACTCTAAGCAAAATACCATAATGCACATTGATGAGGCTCATAAAATCAAGAAGTTAAAATATATGAAGTTTCTTCTGTTTAAGAAGTACAGCAAATGTATAATAGGCTTTAGATATATTTTAATTAAAATGATTTAAATAAATAATATCATTTTAAGGGAGAACTTTGGTTATTTTGAAAATAAATCCTAGATACTTGTGTTATTATTTCCAGTTAACAGATGAAGAGGCTAATCATCGTTACTCTTTATTACCTACCTACCCTGTTCCGGGTGACTTTAAACAGAAATTTATTGTCTCACAGTTCTGGAGGCTAAAAGTCCAAATCAGGCTCTTGGCCATGTGGATTCCTTCTGTGGGCCTCTCTTATAGTTTCTTGGTGTTCCTTTGCTTATAGACAGGTCCTCACATGGTATCTGTCTTCCTACTGTGTGTGTATCTCTGTGTCTACGCTGCTGTTTTTATAAGACATCACCCAGAAGGAATTAGGTTTAGGCCCCACCCTACTCAGGTATGACCTCATTAACATGACAAAAGAAAACCTTCTTTCCAAACAGGGTCATATTTACAGGTACAGGGGCTAGAACTTCACCATTTCTTTTTGGGAGACACAAATCTATAACATGTACACTTAGGCATTTTCTCATTTATTAACTTCCTCAGAACCCTATTACTTGCACTCCATTTTTTAGTGATGAGTCAGGATTGCTGTTCAAACCCAAGTTGGCTTGATTTCAAAGCCCATGCTGGTAACCACTGTGCTTTGTTACCTCCCAGATCTGTCTGACTATATAGCATTAGTTCTCTCCTTCCTCCATTTTATCCCTAATACACACACGTGTGCATGTGCAAGCACCACAGAAGCATTCTCTACCCCTAGTTTATTCCCTTCAGTGTGGCTTTCTTGTACCTCTTATCATATCAACATAGCACAGAAATTTCTTTGTTCACTTTATCGTAACTTGTATCTGTTTTCATATCCAAAGACTCCTTCCTACTCCTTTCTGCCTAAGTCTGCCTAAGGCTATTCTTCTTATTCAGTAGATTTTCTTCAGCATCTAAAGTTTCTTGTGCAATCTTGAGCAAAAGTACCTGGAGGAAATCGGAGTCCCCTTCTCCCTTGTCCTGAAAGCTGAGGATCTCTGGAGTATTTTCCTCCGTGAGTTACTGAGCACCTCCTAGCCGTGAAGTGTTGTGAGGGATACAAGCAAAGAGAAATCTAGGGTTAGGCCCTGCTCTGGAGGAATTAATAGCCTAGTTGTAGAGTTAAGTGCACACATCTATTATAAAAGTGCATGTAATAATAACTACTAAGAAGGTACTACCGGTGCTTTAGGGGCTAGGCTTTGAAACTGAACGCAAAGGTGTAACGGTGAGACATCAGCCTATGAGGCTAACCAACAAAAATGGACCACACCACATCAAAAAATAGGGAGAGATGGCTAACAAATAGATAGGAATTATTTATGTGCGAGTTAGACTCCAGTACGTTCCAGCAGAATCAGGTGTGCTGGTAGTTTTCCCAGATGGTTGCTGCTGAATCGGCCTTTCTCTGACGTATGCCAGGAAGTAGGGCTGAGAGTGCTGTCCTCCCCGACCTCCCTCAAGGCCTTTGCAGTCAGCGCCCCTGAACTCTTCCCCATACCTTCTTTTCCTATTCTCACATGCCCTGGACAATTACCAGAAAAATTGTGTTCGTCTTCACAGAGGAGTTGAGGACCCTTGTTAGATTAAAATAATAATAATAATGGAAAGAGAGAAACATGACAATGATAAATGGAAAAAACGGGGTATATTGCAAGATACTGTATACTTAGAAATATTTTCTGTTAGCGATCATAAATTTATTTTTATTTTAGAAATATCCTGTTTCAACTACTACCGTTTGTGATGAACTCTCCAGGTCACAGAACACTTTAACATCATCAGTTACTTCATTTTCCCCATGATAACCCTGTGACTTAAGGATTTTGTAGAAGAGGAAGTCTCTGTTAGTTATTCAGATTTGGGAGTAGGACAGTTAGTTGTGGTTCTGCCTGAAGGTCGGAAATAGAAGTATATCGTCTCCCAGGGTCATTTTCTAGTATCAAATCAAGAAAAAAAATGCCTATAGGACCATGAGCATTCACTTCTAGAAGACGCCATCTCAAAGTTTTGCCCAGTTGGAAATTCACATATCATTCTTATTATGAAATGACTGTATACCCTTGTTAAAAAAAGAAAGAAAGAAAATCAGTTTGACTAAAGGACTGTGTCAGTAACCAGAAAGACCAGAATACAGTATCTGAGTTAAATGAAGTGCAAAGGTTTTGGCATGGCCTTTATGCTTTACTTCTTTCTTGTGTTTTAGATCCATCACTCGAGCCTACTACAGGAACTCAGTAGGTGGTCTTCTTTTATTTGACATTACCAACCGCAGGTCCTTCCAGAATGTCCATGAATGGTTAGAAGAGACCAAAGTACATGTTCAGCCCTACCAAATTGTATTTGTTCTGGTGGGTCACAAGTGTGACCTGGATACACAGAGGCAAGTGACTCGACACGAGGCAGAGAAACTGGCTGCTGCATACGGTATGAAGTACATTGAAACGTCAGCCCGAGACGCCATTAATGTGGAGAAAGCCTTCACAGACCTGACAAGAGACATATATGAGCTGGTGAAAAGGGGGGAGATTACAATCCAGGAGGGCTGGGAAGGGGTGAAGAGTGGATTTGTACCAAATGTAGTTCACTCTTCAGAAGAGGTTGTCAAATCAGAGAGAAGATGTTTGTGCTAGTCAGGCCTCTTAGTTCCAAAACATGCTCTCCCGCCTGAACTTCAAAGTAATTGAAGCCAATAGAATCCTTGTGTGACTGAGAGAACTCAAACTCCATTTTGGATACCAAGAGAATGCCAAGTGAGCCTCCTTTCCAGGGGAGACTCTGACAGGCCCACATGTGGATAGATGGTGGGGCCTGAGCGCTATGACTGAGGGACTGTTTTTTGGCCCTTGTTGAGCAGTGCTCTGGGTGCCCTTTGTGGACCACATATTAATGGGCTAGGGTTTGGGGAGCTAGGCCCCAGAAAAATATACCTACAGGCAGGACAACTGTTTGTTGGCATTTCAGCTCATTCATAGGTCACGAACGTAAAGAACTATATGAGGCGGGGGGTGGGGGGGAAGTATCACGTTGGGAGCAATTACTGTAACTAAAAACGACTGTAAGCTCAACTTATTCGGTGAGAATATCCTACACAAAATGCGTGTGCTGGGTTTGGCTTCAAGGTACCAATGAGCTTCTGAACAGTCACCTAGAAAACGAGGGGTGCGGATTGCCTGTTTGCTAAGGCCCTTTCAAGTTATGCTGTTTTAATAAAATTGATGTCCACATGAAAAGGGAGGCCATTTACACACTGTTATATATACTTCAAGAAAACGTTCACCCTTGTCATAGAATAACCAGCTGGAAGAGGAAACAAATTGTCCCGTGCAAATTACTATCTGAGTAGAAGGGAGAAACAACGGTAACGTAAATGCCGTGCGTTCTTTCCCCTCTGTTCGTGCCTGCGGTTTCGCTGCATTGGAGACTGCAGTCTGGAAGTAAGCAGCCTGCCTGCTTCTTCAGGCACCTGGCAGCAACAACACAGGGATTGCCTCTGAATGTAGCCCTGAGACAAACCCTCACGCGTCAACCGTGTGCAGTTTACCTCGCAGGGTCGCTTGCGTTCCCTCAGTTCATCATCACAGCAGGCCTCTGAGGTTACTGGCCCCATTTTGCAGGTGGGTCATCGAAGAGCCAGGACACTGCTTGGCCAAGGTCAAGATCCTGACTCCTAGTTTCTCTTCTTTTCACTGCATCATCCTGCCGTCAGATGAACAAACTATTTTTAAATTATTTGCTTTGGAAGAGATATGACTATAAATAAATGTTCTCTACATGTTAGGATATGTTTTCCTTATTGGGTTACAACTCAGCTATCATCCTGAGAGAACCTGGGGATGAGTCAAAGGTAAGGCCCCTTCAGGTATTATTGACAAGAGAGCTTTGAACAAGTGAATAATTGCACAACTGAAAACACAGTGGAACTGTGTGGGCACTTTCATGAGTGTTCTTATCACTGAAACACAACGGACATGTTATTGAAAGGAACCAAATACAGCAATGAGGAGTGGGGTGGGGATAGAATACTCACCTTACAACGACCTTGGCCACCTGTTTGCCATATACGTACACTGGGTTCCTGTCTGCCCTAGAGAGTCAGCTCTTAATTCTCAGGTGAACAGATAACTGCATCAGAAAATTGGAACGGCTGGCTTGAAACATTCCATTATCTTCTTGAAGAGAGGTGATGCTTTACACTATTTTTTGGATTGTAGCCAGTTCAGCAAGGCAAAAGCCATACTTTTCACAGTAAGAAAACTATCCTGATTAGAGTCAGGTTTCTCATATCCATTGTGATAGGAAAGCCTGAGAATGGCAAGTTGCTTTGAGAGATAGTATTGAACTTCAGTTATGAATGTGACTGGATCTGAAAGTTGAGGAATTTGCTTCAGTCAGAATAAAGAAGCCAAATAATGAAAATGATGGAAAACTATCCTGCCGCCCGTGCCCCAAATTGGATGAGCAAACCATCTTGGACCGATTCACAATTATCAACTGCAAGTGAACTAATCATCACCTTCACAATCATTTCACATCATTTGGCTTGGATAGGGTAATTAAGTTGCCAGCTTCACGGTTGTAGAAGACAAATAAAAGATGGTGAATTGGGTTAACAGAAAACGTCATCAACTACTATACTTCTCTATGGTTTTCTTGACTAAAATACATTATATGTATACTTTTCCCATTCCTTGCATTTTTTAGGCAGGTTTAAAAATACTCAGCATAGATCCAGCAGAGGTGGCTGAGCTTAATTGCTTAAACAAGTTCTAGAAACTTTAAAAATCATTTTAGTAGAATTCAGTGCTGTTGTCACTGCGATAAGTGGGTTTTAGAAAATAAGTGTGAAAAAATCAGGTGTTAATATAATACTAAGGATGAAGCTTTAGAAGCTATTTTACTACTTAGGTAAAGAAGAGATTAACTTGTAACAAAGACCACAACTGCATGTCGGATTAGATTGTCTCATATCCCAGAATAAAATGTACCGTATACTTTTCCTCACTTCGTCGTGCACTATAACAAAATGTGAAAAAAAACCTGCTTTATTTAGCTGTATGTGAATGAAAACATGCTTGTATTTAGTAAAATGGTTGATTATGTGACTGTGAGATTCCAAGTGTGTGTTGTAGCTATTTCCAAAGTCTGGCACTACAGCATATCAGCCGCTACTAAGGAGATCACTAATATATAACACGTACTACGCACAACAGTATTCAAAACCGGAAAGAGAATATGATTTTTTTAAACTTAGATGACGATCATGTTGAAAGTCACAGAGGCCTCACTATTTCCTGGGTAGCCCAATTCACTGTTGGGAAAAGAAGTCAGTTCAATCAAGACTAAATCTGCATCACTGCAACTTTTACTGAAGGATCTTAATTCTGTCACCAGGTAGTTGATTACATCTGTTGTCTTCCCGGGAAAGTCTTCTTTTCTCCAGGCTAAATTACCTCAGCTTTTTCCAATTCTACTATGGTGTACTTTTTATGTCAGGATTACTTGGAGTGTGGGGCTCAGATTGGAGCACATTGGTGCATCCCGTTGTCCAGTGTTCATAGTCCATATTTGGGGGATGAAAAAGAAAGGGAAGATGTTTGAGTCTGGGTCTGGGCATAGGTAGGCTGAGCTCCACACAGCTTTATCACTTTTATAGTTCTGAATGAATGGAAGGAAGAGAGGGAGGGGAGGAGGAAGAAAATAAGGAAGGAAAAACCAACAATGTAACAATAAGGAATTCTAACACTCCATTTCTCCATTCCCCTTTAGAGCAAAACTCCTCAAAAGTCCATACGCCCTGTCTCCAATTGTCCTTCCAGTCTCTCTTGAACCCTCTCTTATCGGGCTCTTGCTCACACCACTCCACAGAAATGACCTCTACATTGGCGACCTTAACAACACTGCTAAATCCAGTGGTCATTTCTCAGGCCTCATCTTCTTTGACCGTCAGCAGCATTAGACACAGTCCATCACTCCCTTCTCCTTAAAAGACTCCCCAGCGCACAGTCCTCAGTCATCTTTTCCTCATTTATATTAATTCCCTTTGCAACCTCATTCAGTCCCGTGGTTGTAAATACCATCTATAAGCCAATGATTCCTCAATTTATATCTTCAGCTTGTCTCTTTCCCATGGACTCTAGACCATTATAATGAACTGCCCACCAAACGCCTCCATTTGCATCACAAATTTAACACATCCCAAACCAGGCTCCTAATTTTCCTCCCCAAATCTGTTCCCTCGTCAGTAAATGACAACTTTTTTCTTTTCTTGGTCTTCATATACACCAAGCACATTTCCACCTCAGGGCCTCAGGGCCTTTGTAGTTATTCTTCCCTCTGTCTGGAATACTCCCTTTTGAGATATCTGCATGGATCGCTCCCTCACCTCCATCAAGTTCTGGAACAGCTTCCCTAGAGAAGATGGCTCCAGAAGTTCTTTCTCAATCCTGGGTAACAACAAAGTTTATGTTGTACAAAAAAGGGAAAGGAAATTTAGAAGGAGAGAATGGAAAACTTGGAGAGTACAGTTTGACAGACTGGACAATAGTATCACAATGCAGCAGTGGGTTGCAAAAGATAAGGACTAAAATGTATCCATAGGATTTGAGGGAGCAGGAACTCATGAGTGACCTTTGCCAGCATAGTGTAGGTAGAATGATTTCTGCCTACAACAAGCCTCTCAGGAAGTTAGTATTCTCAGTTCCCTCAGAGGCCCAGTTCCTTTCTCACCACTCTCGCCGTATGCAATCGTACCTACTCCCATGACTTCATCTTTGCATTGATGATTCCCACATGAGTGATTTCAGCCCAGTCTTCTGGGTGTTATACTAATACAGTCAACTTGCCTACTAAACACGTCCACAAATTCCTCAAACTTAACATATCCTATACTGAAATCAACATCTCTCAAAATGTATTCCTTCTACTCCAGATTTCCTCATCTCTGTAAATGACACCACCACTCACCACCTTGCTCAACACAGCAACTTAAGAGTTTTCTTTAATTACTCACTACCACTCACCTTTCACACCAAATCCATCATCAAGCACTGTCAGCTCTATTTTCAAAATACATCCAAGTCTTCCATTTTTCTCCATCTCCATTGCTATCACCTTTGTCCAGGCCACTATCAACTCTTACCTGGACGACTTCAATATCTCCCTACTTTGTCTCCCTACTTCTGCTCTTGTTCCCACCCCCATGATATATTCTCAACATAACAGCCAGAGTGATCTTTTCAAAGCAGAAATCAGATTAAGCCATTATCCTGCTTAAAACCTCAATGGTTTCTCATCACATTTAAAATAAAATCCAAATAAACCACACATTTCTTATCATGGCTACAAGGTCCTGCATGATCTGGCCTCTGCGTAACACTCCAGCTGTATGCTTCACAAAAGCAAGAATCTTATTCATCTTATTCACCTTATTCCTCCAACCTGTACGAGAGGGCTACTGACACTGAGTTTTCCATGTATTTTCACAGTACAGATTTTCCACCTCAGTCCTCCAGCCCTGCCCCCATTCCTCTGGGCACACCCCCAATCCTCCAGTCCCACCCTCAGTCCTAAGCTCCCCCCACCTCAGTCTTCCAGCACAGCCCTCAGTCCTCCTGCCATCCATCAGTCAGCAAGCCTCAGCAGTCCTGGCCTGCCTTCATTCCACTAGCCCTGTTCTCAGTCCTCCAACACCGCCCCTAGTCGTTTTACGCCCCACCCTCAATACTCCAGACCCACCCTCAGTCGTGCAGCCCCACAGTCAGTCCTCTATGAAAGCCCCCTTTCTTCCAGTCCAGTCCTCAGTCGTCCAGCCTCACCCTGTAGTCCAGCCCCAGTCAGTCCTCAAACAACGCCCCCTTACTTCCAACACTTGTCTTCAGTCCTCCAGCCCCACCCTCAGTCCTCTAGCCCCACCCTCAGTCCTTCAACACTGCCCCTAGTTCCCCAGCCCCACCCCCAGTCCTCTAGCCGCGCCCCCAGTCCTCTAACACCGATCCTGGTCCTCTTGGGCCCTGACCTCAGTCCTGCAACCCTGCCCTCACTCCTCCAGCCCCACCCTCAGCCCTATTGCCACACCCTCAGTACTCTAGACTGGCCTCCAATCCTCCAGCTTTTCCTACAGTCCTATGGAGTATGTTGATATTTTTGTTTTAGGCCGCAATCAACCTGAGTAGGTTTGTTCTCTTGTGCCCACCTGCCCTATGTTGGTGTGGCTGCCATATCAGCTCAGTTTTCAAACGTTTGGCAGCACCACTGGTGTATTTCCTTTGTTTTTCCACCACCCAGTGGCTATTTATGGAACTAGGTAGTAGTCTATCCTTTTGTTCAGGTCTCAAAATCTTTGGCATACTGATTAGAAACACATCCAAGAGTTTGAAGCTCAGGCCTTGGCCCATGGAGTCTCTTTCCCGAGCACCTCCCTCTCCATGATTCCCAGGGTACTTTGCAAGTAGGTCAGTGTATACGAAAATAAAGCTGGAAAGGTAGGTTGGAGCCAGATTACAAATGATCTGGTAGCCATGCTATGGAATCTGGACTTTTGAATCAGATAATTGTAACCATTTATTTCTTCATTTCCTCACTCATTCTCTACACTTCCATTTAATCAGTCACCATATTCTTTTGGCTAGCCGTAAAAACAAACCCAACACTCCCTGATCTTCATCTATTCCTGAATTCTCTATTCTTGTACATTCCCAAGTCCCACTGATTTTAACACAATCTTTCAAATCCATTTCTCCCCAACCCCATTGCTACTACCCTAGTTCAGCTCCTAATTTATCTTCCCGCTTCCATTATCACCCTCCTCCAGTCCATTCTCCATACTACAGTCAGAGTGATCTTCTAAAAATATAAATCTGATACTCACTCTCCTAGTTAAAATTTCGAAGACTCCCAAGTGAGACAGTGTTAACTTCCCAGTTTTAATTCCCTGCAACCTGTGCTCTGTTGCTGTTGTTAGGTGCTGTCGAGTTAGTTACAAGTCATAGTGACTCTATGTACAACAGAGTGAAATACTGCCCGGTCCAGTGCCATCCTCACAATCTTTGCTATGCTTGAGCCCATCATTGCAGCCACTGTGTCAATCCATCTCGTTGAAGGTCTTCCTTTTTTCTACCAAGCAGGGGCCAAGATGGTGGAGTAGTCAGACATCTTCCTATAACCCTCTTATAACAAAGACCTGGTAAAACAAGTGATTTGATTGTATATGAATATCTAGGAGCCCTGAGCCAGGCAAAGTTGAGGAATCGAACTGAGTGGCGGGGGGAGAGGGAGATGGTTCTGAAGAAGCGAGAAGTGCCAGACCGGAATCAGCAGGAGCCACAGCTCTTCAGCCCTGACCGGATCCGAGGTACGCAGTGAAGCAGGCATACAGCTCCGTGCGTGTGCTCGGGAGGCAGTTTCCACATCAAGAGAGATCTGGCAGCAGAGATTCTGCTTGGACACTCCGAACCAGTGAAAAGCAGCTCCCAAGTGGCTAAAGATAAGTGCATGCATGTGGCCTTTCACGGGGATTTAAAAAAAAAAAAGCCCATTTGGGAAAAACCTCTCTCCCTTTCACCTCCTCCCTCCCCGCTCTGCACCAGTCCAGCTGGCTTCTGAAGACTCTGAGTCCCCTGGGCTGGAAGTAGATCCCATATGGCGCCCTGACCCATTCTCCTGGCCTTGGAGAGGGAACAAATAAGCTACTGGTTCCCCTAAGCCAGGAACTCAGGGTTGGCACAGCTCCTTTGCTAGGCACAGGCATGGGGGTCCGCAAACTTTGAGTGCCTTCCACCCCTGTATAGACTTGTGTGGACCCATCTCAACAGCATAAGCCCTCCCTACCACAGTACAACAGGGTAAATACCTGAAGTCTAACTTCAGCTGTTTCAGCTATGAAGTGGCAGATTTGTGATGCTTGACACAGCCCTTCCCTTCAAGCAGGCACCATTACCGGTCCACACTAGGGGCTTGAGGACTGGTGGCCCACCTACACCACCTAGTCACCTGCTACAGGGGTCCAAGAATAAATGGTGCCCCCGAGTCTTTACAGCCAACAGAGTAGGGTGCTCATAGTGGAGCTGCAAAACTCACCTACCTACTCGTTCTAGGGAATAGGGACACACTTTCCTTTCAGACTCTCGGGGCAGCCATCAGCCCCCTGCCTTGCTCAGCATGTGACCCCCTACTGCAGCCAGATACCTGTGCCTACACCAATCACCCATGCCTCTCTAAGACTGTAGGTGAGAGCCTGCACCACACACTTGGTGACCGACTGCCTGGACACCTGAGCTGAA